CTGCAGACTGCTAGGGAGCGGCTAGACGCAGAGGACGCACAGATGCCGTCAGCGCAGGGCCTCAGGGACGTGGCTGTGCCGACGCTCTTCTCCACGGCTGCTGGCCGGCCCGTCGCCGTATCAGAGGCCGCTCTGCAGACTGCTAGGGAGCGGCTAGACGCAGAGGACGCACAGATGCCGTCAGCGCAGGGCCTCAGGGACGTGGCTGTGCCGACGCTCTTCTCCACGGCTGCTGGCCGGCCCGTCGCCGTATCAGAGGCCGCTCTGCAGACTGCTAGGGAACGATTAGATGCCGATGCTTGCACAGCTTCGTCATGTAGTAGTGAGAGCGGTGCTAGTGGAGCAGCTCAGCCTCCTTCGGCGGTCAGCCCATCTTTTGCGGGACCACGACGAGGCCGTTTCGTGGTTCCTTTTGCTCGGGCGCCACAGTCGCATCAAATGATACCCTCAATGCGCCCTGATGATGTGCCTGCACTAAGAGAGATAAAAGCTTTATCATTTGATATATTTGCGTATTGTTCTTTGGCCATGTCGTCTCTTCCATCGAGTGAGGAAATTGTGCGAGGTAGTTTTGAATTGAAGTGCATGGGATGCTCTCAAGACCTGCTGCGACTTCTAGGTCTAACTGCGGAAGATGACATAGTGCCACCCAGGTCCTTTCATAGGGCTTTGGTGAGGCTTGGGGCCTGCACGAACACCTGTTCGGAGATTTGGTGTCGGCAGATGCTGCAATCAACACTGTTGAAGCTGCGTGGATTGTCGCTCTACTCGAGTCCACCGCTCCCTGTTTTCTCCGTGTCTCACGCGCTGCTTTACCTCTGCTTCAAGTACAACCGGGAGTTTGTGGATGGGGTGAGGCCGGCGCTGCGTGTGGTGACGGAGGGAGATGTCCCAGCGTCATCCTTGATGGTTGTCAGCGTTGTGCGACTGTCCCTTGAGGAACGTCTGGCGCCACACACATCTGTGGCTGTTATTACTGACGGATGCTACGAGGTTAAGGTGGCGTTTGATGTTCCGCTGACGAATCTCGTGCGGGAACGGATCCTTCGCTGCGGACATAAGTTGCTAGTGTGTGGCGCAAAGATGCTCCTGAAGAATTTCTGCTCCCCGCTGGAGTGCCGTGATGAGGTGGTGCTGTCGGTTGGTTACAACTGTACGCGGCCGGTGGACCCAACGGTGGCTCTCGGTTTGTACCAGACAACTCCCCCTATTGTCTCTCCGGCCGCCGTCCACCCTCTTGGCGGACTCGTGCCGTCGCTACGCGGTGTTGTGGAACGGATTCTTCCACCCATCTTTATTGAACAGCAGGTTAGCACCAGCGATTCTGCCGGCACAGCTTCTAAGGTCGTGCGGAACCTTCTCGCGCAATTAAAACAACTTGAGGGCGCTGCACGTGAGGCCGCAGTGCCATCGGAGTCGACGAGCAAACACCGTCTTGTGCGGCTGACTTCACTCGTGCTGTCATGTGCAAAAAAGGAGGATGTGGTGGTGCATCTGTGGGAGGATTGCGCTGAGGGGTGTGTGGCAGAGTCGCTGGAGGAGTGCAGCACTGAGTTTCCACTGGAGGGGTCCACCGTCATTGTGTTCGCGCTCACACCGTCTCGGAGCCGGCCCTTCCACCCCTTTCAAAACGCCAAAGTCCTCTACACGCGCGCTCGCCTTGACTACAGGCAGCTGGCACCACCTAATGGGAGTGTGAGGCCGCTGCGGCGCGGCATTTCCGACATGGACCCATCGACGCCTGCAGGAGTAGTGACAGACTTTGCTGGCCTATTTCTGGCATCGGCAAAGCATGAGGCAGTGACGTCTTTTGTTGTTGTCATGTGGGAGGATGACGGGACAGCAACGCCTTCGTTCTGCATCATGGATGCACCGTGCGCCACCAGCGTAAAGGAAGTTGCACTCGCAATGCCCACAGTCCCTTTCACCCCTCTTATTGTGCAAAATTCTTCCTTTATCCGTTTTGCGGCTGATGACTTGGGACCGGACTGCTTGCACGTTTTGGCAAATGAGTTCACGAAGGTCCTACAACGACCCGCGTCTCCACACCTCCGCAGAGTTGTTACCGCCCTCGAGTCTCTTCGGGAGAAGGCCATGACGCGGAAAAGTGTTACGGCCCGTGCCGAGGAGATATTGCGCCTACGACACCTGAGTGGTACAGCGCGAACAGATCTGCGCCGTTTCTTGGGCGAACTCAATGGTCGCGATGTACCTCTTGCGGCTGTCACTGGAAGCCCGTCGCGTCTGCCATATTACATGCGCACGGAGAAGCAGGGGGCCATTTCGAAAGGTGTTGTTATCCCACAACGGAGTGAGAGCCCACAGACGATGAGGGGGCGTAAGTCCATCAGCTCCCCCCATGCTCTCCTGTTGCACGGAAGCCGATCCCATATTTTTGGAAACATCATTGAGATGCGTCTGTTTCGTTTGTTTGACTCTGGGCGAAGGGAATCTGTTGTGCTGCTTGTTGACTCGTCAGGCACTGAGGTTGCCCCTGTTGGACCTACGATGTCAGGGGAAACACTTCTTCAAGACTCGATTTTCTTTGAGATTGTCATTCAAGTGGGAGCTGTTGCAGCACAGCATGTGAAGGCGACAATAAAAAGCCCGGTGGTGTTTAGCGGCATGTTGGAGCAGCGACTTGCCATGTGGAGTGTTCGCGCGATGGCGGTGGATGAAGGGCATGTCGACTACTTCCTGCAGCGTACGAAAATGCTCGAGTCGTGGCAGCGCACCGCGGAAGAGGGATGGTGGTGGTTCCTCTCTCTCTCACACGTCGTTGCGGGTGACGTGCATCAGCCCGAGACTGACGGAAAGGCGTTGGTGTGGCTTGCAAGTGAGTGGAAGGCGTTGGTTGACATGCTGGGTGAGGGTTTGCGGGACAGTCTCTTCAAGTTCAGCGTTGACGCGGCCGGGGAAGTGACCCGTGCCGTCTTCATCAGAGAGAACTGTTCTCTCTGCTATCTCATGAAGGAGTGACGGGCAGGCAGGCAGGGGACACAGAGGACCAAAGAAAAGAAAAAAAGAACGAAAACAAATGAGAAAACAATGCCTTTTTTTTCCCGTACTTTTGTCACTAGACATTTGGTGTCCATTCGCGTGGTGGCTTTTTTTAAAAGGGTTCTTCTACTGCGTGCTGCGTCGCTGTTGTACTCAACTTGAGTGCTTCCTTTTTTTTACTTCTTTTTTTTTACTTCGGGGGTTTGTGCTGCTTGCGTTGGATGCACCTCAACACTGGCAGAGAGCGTTGCGGATACACACCTGCTTTTGTGTGCAACTGTGAAGCCGCCGCCTCCCACCCACCGACAGGACGAGGAGACATTGATTCACTCGCGGGCACACAATTCCATATAATCGTATAAACATATATATATATAGAGAGAGAGAGAGAACAATAAAAAACGAAGAAACAAGCAGAGTACTAAAACGCATACATACATACACGCATAAAAAAAGAAAGAGATAACAAAAACTGTGACAGCAACGTCCATGGGCACTCAACCCATTGTTCAGCTGCTGGAGATAGAGCTTCTGGGGGATAACCCTGCTTCATATACGCAGGCGATGCACTGGCGTATGAGACTAGAGGCCCTGCAGGCGTTGGAAGACCCCATCTCGGTGGTGTTTGTCTGGGTGGGCAGCGCATCATCGGCGAACTACGACCAGGTGCTAGACTCCTTTGACATTGGCCCCCTTGAGAAGGGCACCACGGAGATCACGATGGAGTGTGACCCGCCACAGGTTGGGTTAGTCCCTCCGCATGAAGTGCTAGGCGTGACCATTCTTGTCATCTCATTTCAATATCGTGGGCAAGAGTTTCTGCGAGTTGGCTACTACACACAGGTGGCGTACTTCGACGCGTACCTCAACCAGTGCCCACCAGAGATGCCACAAGAGGACCTCCTGGGGCGCTTCATCGCAATGCCGCGGCCAACCGTCACGGTGACCCCCGTCGCGTGGGACAAAACCCCGCCTGAGTGAGGAGGTTGTGGAGACGGCTGTGCGGAGGTGGTGGGTAACCGACGAGAAAGGGGAGAGAATGCAAGAAAATATATATATATATATATATATGAATAAATAACAAGGGGAAAACAAGTGGGTGAGGTTTGTTTGATTGTTTGTCTTTTGTTATTTTTTTTTTGTTCGCTTCACCCTTTTGACGCCCCACCGTCATTTGCGCATGTGGTTTTTAGGCATTTCTTCTCTTTACTGCCCACCACGTAGCCACGGCGTGAGGAGGTCGGAAACGTACAAGCTCACCCATGGGGGAGACAAGGCACAGCCACCCTCACCCCTAACCCAGCACCCAGACTTACAAATGAATCACACACGCACACAGAGGGAAGGACTCAGAGAGCAGCTTAATTGGGATTGTGGTAGAGTCACCGCTGTTTGAAACATCCCCATCTATCGCCTTTGCCTCATTTACCTACGCCTGTATCTGCGTGTGGTGCTGTAACGCTTACGGCCCGGACTGCTTGAACAGTGCCCCTTCTCTTTCATCTCCTACTCTTCTGTTTACATGTTGTACATATTGGAAGGTACAAAAAGGAGCCTTGCTTATCGTTTTTTCTCTGCTCCCCCCACCCACCCCCTTCTCTCTCTTTCTGTGGTGCTAGAGCAAGGAGCATAATACAGAAACAAACAATAGCATTCCGTAAGACAAGCATGCTCAGTGAAAGATTCGTTGACGACATGCTGAGGGACAGTCATGCCTTGAGGCGAGCAATGAGGCAGTGTGACGTGCAGGACTGCCTGACGCCGTCCTCGAGGGCTGCAAAGTCAAACATGGGCCCTGTCTTCCGCCGCGGCTGCACAGACAACGTCTGCAGCCTGAGATTTGTAAGCACTCTGCGAGACTCTGCTGGTGGCCTCAATAGAGAGGCGAAAGAAAGAGCGCTGCGGCAGCGAATGCGGGGAACGTGGAACCCCAGCACAAGGCTGATGAATAGCCAACGTGACATACTTAAAGAGCTTTTGCAACGTCAACTGGAGCTCCATGGGTTTGCCGCTGCATATGAGGCGTCCCGCGATGCATTACTCAAAAAGCAGAGAAACGAGGAGGCATTTTATCATCAGCAGCGCGAGAAGAGAAAACTATCACGCATGACGGCCCGCCATGCAAGGCAACAACAGGAGATTTGTATAGAGGAATCTCACATGCGCCAAAAGCTACGCGACTCAGAGAGACGAAAAAGGGCCTCCACTACCGCCTACATGTTTAACGAGGCCTTTGTCCTTGCTGCCAATGCTGAATTTGCTGAGCGACAAGCCATATTTCAGGACTTTCACGCGCAGCACGCCTCAATCGTAAGTGACGCAGCCAACACGCTGCAGGCCATCACAGGACTTCCACACTCAGTCTACCAGTCCCTTACGGCTCTACAAAAGAAAGAAGCCCAGCACAGGCTGCAACTGGCACGTTCCCACATGAGGGAGTATGAATTTCTGAAAACACAGTTGAATTGCACAGTAGACCATCAACTCAGAGCGGAAATTTCACAGGTGATTGCAAAGGAAGCAATACTTTCAAAACTTTTACAGATACCAAACATAAAGTAAAACACATGAGCATTCACAGGAAAAGAAAACGGCAACCACAACAAACACAGTGCAACATAGAGGGTGACCCAATAACACGCCCCTTACTGGCCTCCCCACAAAAAAAAAAAAAACAACAACAACAAATACAAACAAAATAATAATAATTATTATTGTTTTGCGCACCAAAACTTACTTCTTTCTTTCTTTTGGAGGAACTGATCATGACAACTCCGGCTGCCTGCCACTGGATGTTTTTTTTTCTTTTGTTTTTCTCTCTGTGTTTCCTCTTTTCCACGCACCGTGCCAGGTTTCTTTTCCCAAGTACCACAACCTCGGCGAACGCCACTTCCGGCAAGCAAGCGGAATTTGGAGAACGCCTGCTGATGACCAACCAATACCTGTGGATCGCCATCGTTGGCGGCATCGTCGCCTTCCTCACCGGATGCGGTGTGGGAATGAACGACCTTGCCAATGCCTTTGGCACGACGTACGGCTCCCGCGTGTTGACGCTGAAGCAGATTATTGTTCTTGCCTCCGTCTGCGAGTTAGCTGGCGCCGTATCTCTAGGCGGTGAGGTGACCTCCACGATCTCCGGCGGCATCGCCGACGCGTCACAGTTTGCGGGCGAGCCGTACGTTTTGATGTACGGCATGCTCTGCGCTCTGGGTGCTGCCTTTTTGTGGCTGCTGCTCGCGACTATCTTGACCCT